TCCTGCTAACCACAAGATGGCTGCTGTGCCGCATCAACTGATGGTCAACTCTGCTTGCCAGAACTGCCTTCCGGAGACTGTATTCCATGGAGACTCACCTACAGTTGCGGAACTGCACGAGACCCACACTTGATCCAACCTTGAATGGAATCTATTTTCCCTATTGTTAAAAACTTTGGACTCGTGACCCCTCTCCCTCTACTCGCAGGTATCGCATTTTCAATGACCCCTCTGGAGGATAGCTGTCTATAGCAGAGATAGAGTAATTGGGAGAGGGGGAAAGGGCGTCAAGTCAAACATAGGATAAAAAACATATTTATATGTATGAAAGTAGAAATGGAACAGTATTGGTGACGACATGCTTGATTGAGATGCAGTTTATCCTAGATGGGAAACTGCACTTGGTGTGTTGTGATGATACTCAGGGAATGAGTGTTAGGCAATATAATTTAATATAAAAATAATAATAATAATGAGGAAAAAAAATGCACATTTGATGACTGAAGAGAGTTGTATGGACACAACTGGGGTCTACTTTATAATATGTTCATTCTACTCCCTGGGGTTTATGCCTAGGATCAGATTTGGATACATGTGTAAGGATATGTCAGCTGTGCTAGCTAGTGGATATACTTAGACTAATTGAGTTCATTGGTAGAACAATTGAATGGGGGGGGGCGGAAGCCATTGAGGGCAATCATGAATGTCAGGGACAATGGAGGAGGAAGATGGGACATGGCAGAGGGTGGGGATGGGGAACCTAGGATGGCAAAACAAAAGGCAAGGTATGCAGGACACAAAAATTGGGAAATCATTTGCTGAGAACATATATGTTGATGTGCTTAATTGAGCCAATGCACAGTGTATTTTGGATGGAAAATTCATATGTGTGTTGTGATGAGAAAAGAAAAAAAATTTATAATAATAATAAAGAAGATGAAAAAAAAAATAATGATGAATGCCAGGCATTTAGACCCCAGATTGTCTGGCTCTAACTACCCTTAATCTTCTTGAATTTACTCTCTCCTTTCCCATGCATTGAAATGAGTCATATTATTTGATTTGACTGAAATGTGTCTTCAGCCCCTGAGACTGCCTCTTATATTTTTTTCTTTCTCTTTTTTTTCTTTCTTTCTTTTTTAATATATTCAATCACCGTGTATCATTACAGTATACCAAATGAATTTTCTCATTGTGAATATGCTGTATATTTGTTCAGCTAAAGATATTACCAGACATATTATCATCAACAGATAATTTTCCATTTTTGTGTCCTTTCTTTTCCCCCTTTATTCCCTTCCTCTCACCATCCCCCATTTTCCACCTTTATCCCACACTGTCTCTAGTATCCATGGTTGCTCTCCATGCCTTTATACCTTCCAATCTTTCAGTTTCTTCCAGTCTTTTCAGTTTTAAAGAGGGACATACAATGCCTCTCTTTCATAGTCTGGCTTGCTTTGCCTAGCAGTAAATCTTCTCTGTTATTCCTTCTTTCCCAGCATGCAGACATTAAATACTTTTGCTAAGCCCCTACTCAGTGCCCCCTCTCCTGTCAAGCCCGCTAGTACACCTATCCAAGAAATATGTACTTCTGCTAGGTTCAGAACTTCCTTCAAATCTGTTATGACATTGGCCAACTTCTGCCTTGTGATGTGAGTCTGTTTTTATCCCCTCTATTAGTACCTACCCTCCTTAGAGTTGGAAGGTTATCTCATTATTTTATATTCTCTAACAGTACCTGATGCATGCCATGTATGAAATGAATGCTTACCATACCTGTATAAAAATAATTAACAAATGAATAAATAGACTTTTTTCAAAAGGAGATCAAAACTAAAGTGCTAGGGACCAGCAGTTAGTGTAATGGCTATGTCGCTGGACTCCCATGTAGTCGACCGTGGTTCGTGTCCCGGACCCGGGGGCTTAAAACTCAGGCCGGGCGCGTGTATGTGCATGCCCAAGATCCCGAGAGGAGAATGGAGAAGGGATTGTGGCGTGGCCATCCCCTCTGGGGGGTGATTTCTTGCTTTCTGTCTCTATGTCTCTGTCTGTCTGGCGAGCGCATGCGCCCTATAGCGAAAACTTCTCCAAAAAAAAAAAAAATCCCAAAAAACTATAGTGCTTAATAATTAGCTGATTTTTAAAAAGCATTTTATTTAACTTTATTTATTTGCTTTTTTTAAAAACTTTAATTTGACCAGAGAGGGACTGAGTGAGAGAGAGAGAGAGAGAGAGAGGGAAATTGAGAAAGCAAGCAACCAGGTCTGGGATTCAAACTTCAATGGGCCATATGGGAGTCCAGCGCCCTTAACCACTACGCCACCTGCTGGCCCTGGTATTTTTAACTTATCTATGAAAATTACTTTTGAAATTCCTATAAAAAATAAAAATCTTTTTCTCCTCACTTTCTAGACATTGTCGGAATACCCCATCACCCAGTTCATAGCTGCACCAATGGTATTTCGAATGATCCTACAGCAGAAATTAACTAGGTATGGCAGAGATGGCTGGTAACTACAATCTCTGGGTGGGATTTTAAGGCTGCATCACGATCTGACTGATTTTCCTCTGGGTCTTTGAGATTAGTGTATGTGTGTGTTTGGGTGTTAAATTGATAGTGATCATTATCATCCAGTCTAGTTAAATTAAAGCAAGACTCAGAAATCAGAGAGAAAAACTTCGGCAAGCTTTCCATCATTGTTGGTTCATTCTTTTCTGAATAATTTTAAAATTGCCAGTGTGTGTATGTGTATGTGTGTGTGTGTGTGTGCTCACCAGAGAAAGAAACAGACATTCAGAGAAGTAGAGAGAAAAAGAGATACAAGAGAAACCACTCCTCAGTGAGGCGTGGTCATGCTACAACTCTTCCATTTCTCCATTCTGGAAAATTCATAAAAGTGCATTCTACTTTTAGAAAAATGCACAATACATAAATTTACAGACTAATGAATTATTTGAAAGAAAAGATTTGTGTAACAATTTAACCAAGTCACAAATATTGAATATTGCCAGCATTGTTATTTTCAGAATTATTAATTTTTGCAAACCTGAAAGATGTGTATTGTTATCTTACTACCATTTATTTTTGCTTTTCTCTTTGTTTGAAGATTAATTTTTTAGCTGATGTGAGATCTATTCTTTGGACCTTGTGGGCATTCATACATCTTTTAGAAAAACTGACGTTGGAATGACTACTTCAAACAGCAGAGCTACCATGTTTTAGACATGAATTAAAATACCAGAAAGTTAATGACTATCCCCATGAAGCAAACTCTGAATTGTGACTTAATTTTATTCATGAAGCCTCAGTTGGGTTGTTTTTTTTTTCCATCTGTATTTCAAAGCTCCTATTACAACCACTTTTTGAAACATTCCTCAGATAATGGTCTTTGTCTGCTCTAAGTAAAAATCATATCACAGCATAACTATGACTCCTCCTGAGACTCGGTCCACATTGTATATGTTGATAAAGATCCAGAAGATGAGAAAGACCAGAGAATCAGCCCTCCTGTCCATCAGTCTTGACCTTGTGTGTACCAGGAGCAGGTGACTAGAGTGGAAAAGTCCAGATGCTACTATTTCCTTCAGCCACGGAACTGACCACAGAACCCCAGACCAGCTGGAACAGACCTCAGTCACTTTCCTCTTTTCCTTCAGGGAATCCAATGATCACATTGTGATCTGTATTTTTAAGGAAAGCTTCATGGGGAAATGGAAGAGAGATTCTATCATAGGATATATTTAGTGAATTACTAACAAATGTTCCCTTTTCTGTTCTCTGAAATTCCTTCACTCAGGGCTGATTCCTGTGATCGTCTGTCTTTTCCTACATTCAACCCAATCTCCTCCAATGCCCTGGGCAAACCATTTCCCACCCCCAACATTCACTCCCCACTCAAAAATGCAAAAACTCTTTTATTAACATAAAGCAACCTCTCTCAAAAGCGTTACATTATTATCCTAAGATGTCCATGGCGTCTTGTCCTGACTCCTTTAGTAATTATGAAAATATCCCTCTTTGCCACACTGAAAGAATACTCCTCCTAAGATGAGTGCTGATAAACACATTTCTTCCTTCTTGTTACAGCAACATACCCATTTAATCCAAAGTTCATTGGTTTAACCCATTAGCTTCATCACTATCCACTTGCTCCCTGCAAGAAGAGTTAACAGAGACAGACAGAGTGAGTGACATTCATTCAGACTTGACACCAGTAAAACAATTGAAAAGTCAGTAAGAAAATGAGGAAGTAGAAGAATGAATGATTGGTGACAAAGCTATGAGCTTCTAGTGCACTGAGACACACTGGCCCATTCACAGACTGGCCCTTGCCTTCCCTCTGTCTCAGGTTCCCCACCCTGGAGCACTGTTGTACTGGCGGGGAGGCCCTGCTGCCTGAGGTGCATGAGCAATGGAAACAACAGACGGGGCTTCTGCTTCATGAGGTCTATGGACAATCAGAAACGGTAGGTGGGCAGGTCCCATCTGGGTCAGTTAGACGTAGTCAGCCCCCAAGCTCAGTAGATGAACTGAATCATACCATGTGTGCTGAAGACCCACTGTATGCAAAGAATTGCTTGAAGCCAAAGGGACACTTCAGAGTTCTAGGCTATTTGCTCCATGTCAATTTGCAGAAAAATAATTCACAGCTCATAAGTTCATTGAGAGACCTATGTGCTGAGAACTATTGGACAAAAACTTCAAAGAGGGTCTGAGGACATTTTTGCCCCTATGCTTGTGGGCAGTTAGCTTGGGGAAGCCCAGAAGAGTGGTGGGATAAAAGGCTCTCTCCAGCAACATGGAGACCACCACCAGCAAGTCCTGTCAACTCCACCATCCCTTCCCATGTGGAGGCTGGTGAGGGCTGGCTCCAGAAGTTCATTTCTGGGTTTGCTTGTGGTATATCACAGAGATGGAGACTTTCTGTGTACTCCAAACGCATACACCCACCACCCCCCCACACACACACACCCACACACAGTGACCCCAGGCTCTCACCAAGCCACCAGGTAAACAGGGAAGTCTTGAACTACAAGGACTTCACTAGCGATAGTGTGAGTGGGTATCTCTCTTCCAGCACATTCGATCCATTCCAAACTGAGTGGAGCCACTGTCCTTCCCTCCCCATTATCCCAGTCCCAAGGGTGACTGCCATTTCAGGCACTGTGACAAAATGACTGCTGTAGCCTCAATTCACATCCTTGTGTGACATGGTTTTTAGAAGACAAATCTATTCATTGGTCTACTTTCAAGCCTGCAAAATGCTAAGACTCTAGGCCTGTTCTGGGTTGGCTCAGTTTATTTTTGGATAGGAGGTGGGTGGGGAAAGAACACACACTACACTCAGGACTTCAGTTCTTTTGCATCAGTTATTTGCAACAACTCCTTTACACCAGGCATCCCTTATTTATCAAGGCATTTTCACGTGTACTTAGTCATCTCTGCAACGTTTTTCACATATCTACAGTGAGTAGTGATGTGGCAGAGGTAAAAGAACTCTCTTTTCCAGGAGCTCAGACCTAATCTCAGTCCTGTCAAGCATATGCTTTGAAGCCATGGGCCTGAGAGTCAAGTTTTCCCAACTTAGCATCCTCATCTCTAAAATAGAAGTTGTTAATGTCAATCTACCCGGGTTGAGTAGGCAAATAAAACAAAGCATATAAAGCTCTGGCCAGTCTCCAACACATAGTAGGTGCTCACATGGCAGTTACTACTGTCCTTGTTGTTTTTAGGTAGGTTTTATGCCAGGGGCTGGGAGTGCAGAGGTGGATGAGCTGTCTATTCTTGGGATGCCCATTATCTACCAAGGGAAATGAACAGAAATCATTATGATCTCCTGTGGCTGTAATAGGGGAAATACTGCAGAAGGAGAATCTTCCAACTGACTTTTCTTGGGGCCCAAGTAGTAGCTAGTTATGGTCATTCGCTGAATACTTGGCATGTGCCTTACATTGTGCAAGGAGTATTCTGCACACTCACAAGCTGTTATCATTGCTCTCCTTTGGTGGAGGAGGAGACCTCGGGATTCATCTGCACACAGTTAGTCCATGGGAGAGTCGAGAGTCAAACCCTGGTCTGTTTTGACTGTAAAGCACTTAGCTGGAGAAAGAATGATATTTGAGACTGTCATAAAGGGAGAAAAAAATTAATCAGGAAGACAAATAGGGTGGGCAGTGCTAGCAGAGAGACCAGCACAGTCTGAACGATCTCAACTGAGTCTGAGAGGGAGTTAAGGCAGAATTCCTGTCACTGATCAACAATCCCAAGTAAATGTTTGTTCAATGGATGCCTGACCTTCACCCAGAACACTGACACATGCTATACCCCATGTTACATGCTCAGAACCCAGGGAGTGCCCTTTGCCTTTTTCCTTGCCTCTGCACTGCATTTTATAGTCCCTGCACCTAGCACATGCCCAGCTCATGTGGGTGCAGCAGAATGTGCTGGATAGAGATGGATTAACTCTCAAGCCTGGCATCCAGACCTTTCGGCTTTCCTATGGGGCTCTTTGTGCCCCATCGAATAACGTCCATGAGCAAAGGAGGCTGTGGGTGGTTCTTGCTGCTGTATGATCTGCCTGGACTCTTTGCTCAACTCCAATTCTCTCTCTTTTTTGAACAGGGACTAACTTGTGCTGTCTTCCGGGGAATGAAGATGAAACTGGGTTCCATGGGCAAGGCCATCTCACCCTATGACGTCCAGGTCTAATCCTAAGAGCAGTGGCAGGGAGCAATTAGGATACAGTAGGGTTGGAGCATTGTGTGACACCAGGTGGCAAAACCAGCCTTGCTTCCCTGTCCCAGTTGTCCTTCCTCCTGGTATTCCTGATTTCCCGTGGAGGCATCAACTGAGAACTGCATTCACCTGGGCACTACTGCAGCTCACTCTGGCAGCCAGAGGCATCACACACAGGGGTCAGGAGAGCCTGCAGGTGGTGCTGAAAGCTCCCTTAACCACCTTGTGCTTTCTGTTCTGCTTGGTTGATGTTTTGTAGTTTGAAGGCATGTTGGTGATGTTTACATACATAGGACCCAAATAGGCCCTTGACTTGGATTTCATATTTGCTGATTTCAAAGACTTTTCACTGTATTATTCTATTTTCTTTTTTTATGAATGAAAGATTATTTGTTTCTTCTACTAATGCAGAATAATTTTTAAAAATTTTTTATTATCATAATCTTGTTTATATTACATTGAATCACATATAACTTGACAGTGTATTACATTTCTTTTTGCAGAAGGAGTACCATTCATACCAGTCAATACAAAGACATTAAAATCCTCCTCATCATCAGCCAATAGCTTTTCATTTTTTTCCAGATTATTATAATTATTACACCAATTTTTTTTTAAAACGTTCAATCACTATGTATTATTCTATTTCCTGACAGGGCTTCCACATCACTATTCCATGTATTCCCATTGGTGCCCATGAGCAAGACCAATATTTGGGTGGGGCAGAAGGGCTGGGGAGTCCTGCAGGCTGAGGTTCACAGGCCTCTTGTTCCAGATCATTGATGGCAAGGGCAACATCCTGCCTCCCAACACAGAAGGAAACATTGGCATCAGGATGAAACCCACCAAGCCCTTTGGCCTCTTCATGTGCTATGAGGTAAGGTCACCCTGCTTCCCCTTCCTAGCCTCAAAAGAGCTCTGCCTCCGAAAACCTCTTAGGTCTCCTTTTATTCACTCCAACTCAACGAAGCCTGCTTAATAAAACTCAAAGCCCACAGAGCATCCCCACATCCCTTCGTATTCTAACACATCTGTGATTTATGGACTGGCTAATGCACTATGAAGAAAATCAGCTTCAAAACCACTAGACTTGGTTCTAGTGATCACGCGTAGTTACAAATATAGGCTTTGGGTCAGCCCTATGGCCTAGTGGTCAAAGGAACCAGATACCACATGGCCAACCTTAGTTCAAATCCCAGCCCTGGTGACTTGAAAATCCCACCAGGCAGGTATGAGAAATGTGCCTAATATCCTGAATGGATATAGAAATGGAGAAGAAGGGATTTCATTGTGATCACTGCTTCCACTTGGGGTGCTTTCCTACCCCTATTTCATCCTCTCTGTCTCTCTCTTTGGCAAGTACATGTGCCCTTTAGTGATGAAAAACAAAACAAAACAAAATAAAGCAAATATATATGCATTGACTGAGTTCAGATAATACCATTTCACTTACCAGCAGCAGGGGGTTATCAAATCACTTATCCTCGTTGAGTCTCCAGGGAGCTTTTTTTTTTTTTTTTTTGGAGAGATTTTCACTGTAGGGCACGTGCGCTCGCCAGACAGACAGAGAGAGACATAGAGACAGAAAGCGAGAAATCACCCCCCAGGGGGGATGGTCACGCCGCAATCCCTTCTCCTCCATTCTCCTCTCGGGATCTTGGGCACGCACGCACACGCGCCCGGCGTGAGTTTTAAGCCACCGGGTCCAGGACACGAACCGCGGTCGACTACGTGGGAGTCCAGAGACATAGCCATTAGGCTAACTGCTGGTTCCCTCCAGGGAGCTTTGTTATCTCTACTTTACAAAGGGAAAAACTGTAGATTGGAAATGGTATGTGTCTTCCTCATGTGAAATACATGGTAACTCTAGGTCCCAAACCCTTATTGTTTGGGTCACAGGCTGATCAGAAAATCCAGGTATTACGGGAGATTGGGATGATGGGCTATAAGGAAATATGCTGGAACTTATAATCAGAGAAACCTTGGACTTTCAGGCTAGTAGTATCCACCTGGAAGAGATTCTTAGCTTCTAAGGATGGATATAGAGAGTAACCAGATCGTGAAAGTGTTCTCACACTCCATCTCCTTTCTCTGTAGATATCTTCACTGGAATCTCTCTTGGTCATACTGTGGCTGCAAGGGATGCTGCAGCTTGTGTAACACTCTTGCCCAAAGCAAACATGCTGGCCTTCTCCTTAATTCTCAACAACATAACTATAAGTTGGCAAAACCCAAACAAAACAAAACACTAAGTATTACATAATATCCTATCCTGTTCTATCATCCTATCCTGTCCTATAATGTAATCTTCAGGTAACTTTGAGAACCACTAAGAAACACACACACACACACTTATATGCATGTGTATGTATGTGTGGATCTCAAAGCTGCCTGCACATTAGAATTATTTCAGGAGGTTTTAAAAAATATGGATGTTTGGGTTCAACCACAGTGATTTTGTTTAAACTGAAATGGGATAATAGAAAACAGTTGAACTTTTTCTTGATTGGCATGATACGATTTATTGTCCAGACATCCTCTCATGTACTTCCACACTTATGTGTGTCTGGTTCACATGTTGTCATTATAATGAGATGTTGATACTCCTTCATTGATATTATAAGTTGAATCATACAACATTCATTCTTTTGTAAGTGGCTTATTTTACTTAGTATAATATTTTCAAGGTTGTAGCGTGTTGTTTCATGTTGTAGCATGTAACAAAATGTCATTTCTTTCTACGTCTAAATAATATTCCATTGTATGCATATTGCCACATCTGGTATATTCAGTCATCTTTTTTTAAAATAATTATTTATTGTATTTATTCATTCACTTATTTATTTATTTTTTTAAATTTGACCGGAGAGAGACAGAGGGTGAGAGTGGGAGTGAGAGGAAGTGAGAAAGCAAGCCACCAGATTCAGGACTTGAACGCTAATCAGCCATGTGGGAGTGTCCAGCATCTTAACCACCATGCCACCTGCTGGTCCCCAGTCATTTTTTTTTTTTTAAGAATTATTTTCTTGGGACCAGCAGTTAGCATAATGGCTATGTTACTGGACTCTCATGTAGTCAACTGCAGTTCTAGTCCTGGACCCGGTGGCTTTAAACGCGCACTGAGTACGTGTGTGTGCCCAAGATCCTGAGAGGAGAGTGGAGGAGAAGGGATTGAGGCATGGCCATCCCCCTGGGGGGTGATTTCTCCCTTTCTGTCTCTCTGTCTCTGCCTGTCTGACTAGCGCACGTGCCCTATAGCGAAAACCTCTCCAAAAAGAAAAATAATGATTTTCTTTATTTTAATTTGACCAGAGAGGGGAAGAGAGAGAGAGAGACAGAGAGAGAGAGCAAGCAAGCCATAAAGTCTGGGGCTTGAACCATAGTCAGCCATGTGGGAGTCCAGCATCCTTAACCACCACACCACCTGCTGGCCCCTAACTACCACACCACCTCCTGGCCCCTTCAGTCATCTCTTGCTGGGCATTTGAGTTGCTTCTCTTTTGATTATTGTGAATAACACTGCTATGAATGTTGGTGTTTATCTTCCTAGTTCTACTTCTCTAGGTAGATTTATTGATTAGCTCTAATATTTTTTGAGTATGTAGAATTTTTAGGTTTTTCTACATATAAGATCATGTTATTTACAATGTTTGCTTCATCTATTTTGGAGTACTAATACTTCCTGTATGTATGTTGATAGTTGTTACATCTTTGTGAATTGATCCTTCTGTTAATAGATTTTCTTCTTTGTCTTCTTCAATAATTTGTTATTTAAAATCTATTTTGTCTGATATTTGTATAACCACAGCTCTTGATTGCTATTTGCACAGAATGTACTTTTCGGTTCTTTCAATTTCAACCTATTTGTGTATTTAAATCTAAAATGAGTCACATAGAGACAGTATTTAGTTAGATAATGTTTTATTATTCATTCAACTGATCTCTTTAAATTGGAGAGCTTAATCCATTTACATTTAAAGTAATTATTGATAACAAAGGACTTACTTCTGCCACTTTGCTATTTGTCTTCTGTGTATCTCTAGGTTTCTGTTGTCCCTCATTTTCTTCATTACTTCTCTTCTTCAAAAAATTAAAGAGAGAAAACTATCTAACTCGATTTATGAAGCCAGCATTACCCTGACAACAAAGCTAGACAAAGACACTAGAAAAGAAGGAAACTACAGATCAATATCCCTTATGAATATTAATGCCAACATCTCAACAAAATTTTTGCAGATTTTGAAATTCAGAAGCATAATAAAAGAATATACACTATGACTAAGTAGGAGTAATTCATTTTAACAGATGATCTTTTCAAGATTTTCTTTTTCTCTTTGGTTCCAGAGAATTTGAATATATTGAGTCTCATTGTGAATCTCTTGGATTATCTTACTTGGAGTTCTTTTATCTTCTTGTATTTGTGTCCTCATGTCTTTACTTACTTTTGCAAATTTTTTACTATTATTTTTTCAAATAATCTTTCTTCTTCTTTGTCTGTCTCTTTTCCTTCTGAGACTTCTATAATGCATATATTCCTCTGCTTCTCCCACAAGTCCCATAGTCTCTGTTCACTTTTCTTCAATCCTTTTGCTCCTTAGACCTAATTATTTCAGTACGATTGCTCTGTTTTAAATTCCCTGTCCTTTTTAAAGTTTTCCTTGCTGAAATATGCTGTTGAACCTCCTGGTAAGTTTTTCTTTTCAGTTATTGTAATTTTCAGCTGCAAAATTTCCATTTTTTTCTTTTTTTGAGAAAGAGATTTTTGCTGTGGGGCCCACACACTCGCCAGAAAGACAGAAGGTGAGAAATCACCTCCCAAGGAGATGGCTACACCACAGTCCCCTCCTCTCTACTCTCCTCTTGAGATTTTGGGCATGCACGCACAGGTACCTGGTGTGAGTTTCAAGCCACTGGGTCCAGGATTCGAACCATGGTCGACTACATGGGAGTCCCGTGGTGTAAGCATTATGCCATCTGCTGGTCCCTCTGATTGGTTCTTTTTAATAACTTCTATCTCGGGACCAGCAGTTGGCTTAATGGCTAGGTCGCTGGACTCCCATGTAGGTGACTGTGGTTCAAGTCCTGGACCCAGTGGCTTAACCTCACATATGTCACTTAGCTTGTAAAGTGAATATTCTAACATGAATATGTTTCTCACCAGTCCAGTTGAGAATACTATACATGTTATCTTCAATAGATAGCTTTTGTTGAGTAGTGTCTTTTTCCACCTACATTCTGAGCTGTGTGAACCAAGCACCTTGCGTTAGTAGTTCAGGTATCCTCCAGCCAGGTTAGAACAGAGGAACAGAATAATTCACAAATAAGATATGCTCTGTGCCCTCCAACTGTGGTAAGGGAGGAGACAGAGGACTGAGCTGTTTACCTGCTCAAGACAAAGCCTGTCTTAAAAAGGTGAAAAAAAAAAAGGTAAGCGAATATGCCACAGAACCTTCCTACCATCTGGAAGATAACTTTTTCTTGAATGGGCATTTGCTTGGTTGTTGTAAACCTTTTACTTTTTTTTTTTTTTTTCTTCATCATACA